TGTAAAGAATTTCGCGTAATTTTATAACGAAGTACAAAATGGTCTTTTAAGCTAATATATAATATATAGTATCGATATAATAAGTGTCTATTAACGAGGAAATGTTTGAACATATGTATATTAATTAGCGCCGTAGGAGTAATTTTTGTTATGAATAATTCAGTATATAAACCAAGTAACTGTAGCCGTTGCTCCGTCATAATGGATAATACTAATGTATAGTTAAGAATTGACAAACGAATCTTTAAATTACTATGGTTCATAATTTTCTTAAAAGAAATGGGAAAAGAGAAAGGAAAATGGAGGAAAGATAGAGAGAGAGAAGAATGAACGATATCGCGCCGTCAACGCTAACTTTATAATCTTCTGACATTTTTTTCTCGATCATAGAACCTCCAACGCTAAAATTTCATCGATACCACTGAACTTTCGGTCGTGTAATATAATCGCCAAAGAAATATACCGATAACACGTGCATTAATTGATATAGAGACAAGGGATAAGTTAAACAAAATTATTCGATCCTGTCTTTTTAACTGTAACTCTTTGTATAACGTATTCGGAAAAATCAGTCGAAAACTCTTCAAGTATATATAATAATATACACTTACTTACATGTATATTATGAGCTTATAGTAATTTAATATATCGACAAGAAAACATCGATAAATCATTAAGTAGAGTTCGTTCGGTAGATAGATCTATCATTTCTTGGTGTATCTCGACGGATTTGATTCTTAATCTAGAAACTAATGGAAAAGGAAAAAAAAGGAAAAAAAAGAAAAACCAAGCTGTAACACACGCATAAACACAGCGAAACAGTTCGTAAGCTTTATCTCTGATCGATTTTATTCGAAGCTACATGGCGTCTAAACGTTGAAAATCCAACGTTTCTTAAGCGACGAAGAAAATAATGATAAAAATAAAGAAAAAAAGATGCAACAAAAGTGGAAAAGAACGGCTATATACAAAATGCGTGAATTCAGCGCGACGAAATAAAATATAGATTTTTCTACATTTTATCATTGCGACTGAACTGTCAAACGTCAAAACGCGGCTGCAATTTCTGCGATTTTCAAATCGTCGAACGCGATTTAAAAGAGGGGGAGAAAAAGGAAAACAGAAAAAATAAGTACGTGAATAAATGCGTATATATGTAGCTGTCAACGTCACTTTTCTCGGGACTGAAACTTGAGTATCCATTAGACGGTCAATTGAGAACAAGATGTAAATGTGCACGAGCCGTAGTCGTATAGCAAAAATCTCTTCTCTATTCCTAACACTGCTAAGGGAAATCGTGTGACGTGTTTTCTCGGGATTTTTCAACGTTCGCCTAATCATTTTCTTACCAAATGTCCACTTCGAGCCCGTCGATAAGCGTAACACTAGTCGCGACAAGCGGTGATAACAATTACGTGAACCTCGAATCGTCTGTTGCTCCACCTTCCAAGACTCGTAGCCATTTTGTTAACAGTAGAAATACAATACAGTAGATCTCGTTTGTTTCTCTTAATCACGCCTTCCTCAGGCCTTAGGAAAAGATTTTCTCTGATTGTAAATGATAAATTCGCTGTTATGTGGAGATCCACGGGGGTTTATTGATATCTTGTGGTTTCCTTGGGCTGCCGGTGTAGTATCCTGATGGCCATCTTGCTATGATAGGATTAGCAGGTAGAAGGGATAGGTTTCGTCCTGGGCCTGCTAGTGGACTCGTTAATAAGGCTCTCTAGCAGGTCCTGCCTTCGATGGAGGCCACTTAGGCAGGATAGGAGCTGGTATTTATGGAAGTCGAGGGTTCACCGAGGACTTGCGAAGAATCTCGATCCCCTGTTTTCCATCTAACGGTTAGGGTGTAAACGTTGGTCGCTATAGTTATTTTCGACCGGTAAATTCTACCTTCGAAATGAGAACGTTTCAAACAATTGCATTTATCAAACAGAATAATGTTCTTCGTTGGTTCGTTAATTTTTAAGCGGATAATTTAACCCAATTTTCTAATGTCATCAGGATAAAGATCAGCTTTCTGTCAGCAACATCTCAGAAATTGTCGACCTAATTGCACAAATTTAATTCCTCTCGTTTAGTTACTAAGTTTTCTTGCTTGGTTACTTAGCTTGGCTTCAGAATCGCAAGAATTGGACGTGTTTGAGCGTTTACGCTACAATTCGCGCGCGTAACGGAATCGTAGAGGGCGCAACGTTGTTGTCACAGCAGGTCGTGAGAATCGATCTTCCATTTCGAAAAGGAATAAGAACGAACTCAAGTTTCGTGCGATTTTTCGAAGAAATACCTTTTCTCTCGGTATCTAAACGTGTATACGTATTTAAGCCAAGTGTCCTAGCTCTGTGTCTTGCGAATGAGTCTCTGGTCTTGCATCGACGAAGCGAATTTTCGATTATTGAGGAGTGGATGGCGGATGGATCGCTCGAATGATTGGAGGAATGAAAACAGGAATAACAGAAAACCAGGAAATGCATTTTCAACCTGTTGAATACACGCGTACATCATTTTGCGTCTTTTCGTTTTAGAAGCATAGAGATTCTTCTGTTAACTTCAACTTTACTCGCAGTTGTTTCAAATTGAAGATTCTGCCGTTTATTTCAGCTCAACTTTCAACGTGTAATAAATTTAATAAGATGAACTTTATTCTTCCGTTTAGCTAAAATTGGTCATTAAAAATGTTGTTGTCAGGGTTAACTTATAGATCACCGATTTATTTCCACAAAGGTATTCGCGAGGACATCAACCCCGAATAGTCGTAATTGTGTAATTGATATTTCGTTTTACATAACCTACAACCATGATCGAATAATAAGGTCTATTTCGTATAATTGGAATTAGTTGAAAGGAATAATGGAAGGCATCAGGCAGTTCCAAACCTCTGCGTTATTCATTATATCGAAGCTTAAATTGTGAAACTCGATCCGATCGACCTTAAGAATGCCAATTAATCTGAACATGGTCATAACATCGTGTCGAAATGATCGATTAGACTATCGGAATCGAGTTACCATTTCAAAAAACGATTCTGTCGGTATCCCTTCCTTTTCTCTTCGTTCAACTGTCCAACGTGGGGCTGTGATTGTCACCAAAAGTAAAACGGAGAAAAAGAAATAAGAGAAATAAAAAATGGTAAAATGGCCGAAGGCACGGCGCGAGATTTAAAATTTCTCGTACGTTGCCATTCGTTTCGTTCTTCGCCGTGACTTCTTGATGGTAAATAGGGTCGTTCAGAGACAGAAATTTTGAACAAACGCCTTCATAGGTCATACGGTCTTCCCATCGATGCTTAATGTTTCCTCGTTGAAAGATTAATTCGTAAATAAGGAAGGCGAGCGGTCGAACGAGACAGCCGCGTCGATTTTAAGATGGATGGTTCGTTTTATCTGCGGTAGGTTCGGTTCTACGCTTCGAGCTATTTGTATGCGAAATATTCATAGATTGAAAGGGGAAGGAATGAGTCAGAGTGACAGGAAAAGAGGAATGAGAGAGAGAGCGAGAGAGACAAAGTGTAAATGTGTGGGAGCGTGTGCGTGTGCACTAAGAAATAAATGAAAAAAAAAAACGCTTACCTACCTACGATAATTTATTACCGACCGTTTCATTTGTATCGACGATATATGACGAAAGGTATCGATCGTAGACGAATTTAGCGTAGATAGGTTTCGTACTTCGTATTTAATGAACATTAATGAATCATTATATATCAAGTATCTCATGTATTGGAGCCGAAGAGGACAATTGAAAATAAATAATTGTAACCAAAGCCCATGAAGTTTGTTTAATTTCTCCTTATGAAATTATTAATTATAACTTAAATTATTAGCTATCTTTGTGATACTTAATGATAATCTTTTGTTAAGTTAATAATTTTATTAAGCTTTAATGTAAAATAGTTAATATCAAATTCCCTTATAACTGAATATACTCTATTGTAAAATTTTTTACATCAGAATACAAATAAGTTTGAGATCGTGAAATAAGTATTTCATTGATGTAATAATGTTAGAAAAATGAAAAATAAAGAAAAAATGGTGGTAAAATTAATCAGGAGTACAAAATTGCCAATAGAAACTCAAGAAAAAGATAAGAAATAAAATTAAGAAAGAAAACATTACGAAAAAGGTATACAGTTGAGTAGCGAAATTGTGTAAACGTTGTAAACTATAGTAGCGTATGACGAGAATCATATTAAATTCAAATAAATCATTGTTTTAGAGTAAAAATAAATTTTAATTTGTAAAAAGTATTACTGCTACAAAACTATTTAACCTGTAATTCCAAAAAAAAGTATCACGTAATTCTGTTAATTCTGGACTATAATATTTGTAATTTTATAACATATAATAATTATCTTATTAAGAATATTTGAATAGTCCAATGAAACTTATTATTAGGTATATGTGCTAAAGAAAAAGCGTTGAACTTTTCCTCCATTGAAAAATGAGAGAAAATTTCCTGGTCTTTATCTTATTAAAGC